CCCGGTCTCTGCAGGAGCGGCGAGGAGCGGAGCCCCAGCGCCCGCCCTCGGCTCCGCGGGGCCCCACGCAAGGCCCGCGTGGGCGCCAGGCCCGGGTACGGCGGCCCTCGACGGCCCGAGGACAGAACCACGGGCACGGCACGGCCCCGGCCCGTCGGTGCTCCCCGGTCCGGCGGCGAAAAGAGCCGCTCCCGGGACGGGAGCCAGCCGAATTTAAGCGGGATGGGTGGAAAAGCGGAGCGGGGACGGCCGGTTGGGGGTCCCGCCGGCCCTCCGCGACCCCGCGCACGGGAGAACTCGAGCGGAGGGCAGGGAGCGGGGAGCGGAGAGCGCTCCCGGGGAGCGGCGGCGGCAGCGCCCGGTACCGAGCGGCGATCGCTCCGGTCCCCTCCTCGCAGCGGCTCTGCCCTGCCCCGGGAGAGAGCCCCTCGCTGGACACTCACAACGGGAGCAGACCCTCTCGGAGCCAGGCAAGGAGCTGTCAGAAAAATCCCTTTTCAACACATCCCGGAGCTCGAAACGTCCAGACGGTTTCAGGCATTTTTGTTTTTCCTGCAGGAGCTGGTGATAAATTATTACGATTATATTACGAGGTGGTTTTTTTAATCTCTTTTTTTAAAAGGGAAATGCGGGAGGCGAGGCACGACAGCAACAGCCAAAGAGAAATATTTTTTTTTAAGAGGGTAGAAAAATTAAAATTAATTTAAAAAAATCGAAGGTCTCGGACAGGGTTTTGAACAAGGAACGAGTGCTTTCAAAATTGCTGCACTGATCCATCGAAAACAAAACCTAATTACGCCACCGAAATGGCACTATATACACAGCGTATTGTGTATGTATATATATATTTATTTTTTTATATTTATGTGTATATATATATACAAACATCCATACACTAAAATAAAGAATTACAGCCAGCCTGGATCCTGAACACAGTCTACACTTTATTTTCAGACTACAGATTTCTGAACATAATAAAATCTTTGGCTTGTAGCGGCGGGTTCAGTCTCGCAGTCTGTGGATCAGAATTATTTTTTTTTTTCCTCGGGAAAAAAAATAAAAAGAAAAAGAGACAGAAATTCACACACACAAAAAAAATAAGATCAAACGAAAGATCAGGAAAGTCGGACATTTACTGTAAAACAAGAGCAACGGACATCGAGAAAAAAAAAATAAAAAGGAAAGCAAACAGAACGAACAAACGAACAAAAGAGACTGGAAGAGAGAGAGAGAGAGAAGGGGAGAGAGAAACTGTCCAGCAAATAGAGATCGCTACACATATTTCTTACCTGAAATTAAATATATACAAGGTCATATGCTGTTTGGCTATATAGAGATAATTTTTTTTTGTAAGTGTTCATATTTTTTTTTTTTTTTTTTAGTTTTTTTTCTTAATCGGAGTCCTTATACTATGGATAGACAATAGATCTGCTTTTAAATAGCACCTGTCCGCCTCCCGGCCGGCGGGCCGGCGCCGCGGCGCAGGGCTCGGTGGGGAGGGGGGGGGGGGGG